CCCATAGAATCAGACATGACTGGACAGGGCAAACCTTTACTTTTTTACCTTTAGGAGATGTCATACGTACACATGTATGCTCACACACCCCACTGAAGCCATAATGATCCTTTAGCACCATTTTGTCTACACTTTTGAGTTGGACCAAGGTTTCAGTATAGGATTTAGAATTTGGACATACTGTATATATCAGTTTCAGAAATATGCCATAATTTAGTTCTAAGGTTTCTTTGTTTATATCATGTTATTATTGAGTTTTGCATTACTGCACTTAGTCTTTTCACTTAGGAGAAAGGCAGGACATAAATTTTAGCAAGGGAAAAAATTTTTTTTTTCTACAGTGATGTTAAGTGAAACTTTGGCTTGGTTCCCACATTGTGCTAAACTGTACTGAGGTTGTTTATTTTCAGATCACCTATTAGGGCTTAGTGCTGTATATTAATCAACACGATATTCAACAAAATATGGTTAAAATTCCTGTGTGAGTCTTACATGTGAAGCAGGCCATTAAAATGATTATTTCATTGGGAAAATATTAGATAGTTTGTGCCATATTAGCACAAATGAAAAAAAATATAGCTAAGTTGCTACAGAATTAATGGTAATTCAGAAGGCAAAAGCATCATTTTGAAATCACAGAGGTCCAGAGCTGCTTTCAAATGGACACAGAGTCCTTGTGTAGTACTTGAGAATTTTTTAAAATCTTTAGCACTATGTTTATACTAGCTGCAATCAAGAATCAGTAGCATGATATAAAATACTTGTATGAACCTATTGCTTATTGTCACGATCACCTCTAGAAGAAGTTTTCATAACCCTGATACATTTAAATATTGTAATTGCTTTTTAATAAATTGGACGGATTTAACATAGTTATTAATTAAAGTAACAAGTTCTAATCTACGCTTAGCAACATTCAATAAGAAATTGCTTGGAATTTGAGTGATGGCAACTGGACTTATTTTCATTTTTGTTTGAAACATTTCGCTCCTTATCCAAGTAGCTTGAACTTCAGTCAGTTCAATAGGAAAATAGCATAGTTAAGTATTTGTAGATTTATTCATACTTGGTTTTGAACTATCTTGTGGGTTTAAAATATAGCCAATTATATTTTTGAACATTCACTTAAATGTTTACCTATTTCATTTTTTTCCCCATCCAAGAGCTTTTATTTTACATAAATGAAATATTACATAGATGCATGATGCTTTTTAGCAATGTCATTCCTGTAGGGTTTTTTTAACGTCGACAACAGTGTATTTTAACTGTACATACCATCATCATTTATTAGGGAAATGGTAGCATAGAAAGTGTTCTGCTTTGTTCAGTATTTATAAATATGAATCCATTTGAAATATGAATATTGACTCATTTATTAGCGGGATGATCAAACAGAATATACAAAAATATTTCATATAATTATAAATAATAATAATAATTATTATTATTATTTTAAATTGATACAGTAAACATGTTTATATTTGGATTTTCCATGAAATAGCAACTTATCTTTTGGGCTCAAACTTGAAAGAGGATTTATTCGAAATAACTAATTTATTCCATGCAAATAGTTGAATATATATCTTGATATATTGATTAGATATAGTGTGGTTTAGGAGAAATAAAGTTTAGGAGAATAGTAAAATAGTCACAAAATGGCAAAGACATTGATAAAAACGATAAATTATTTCCCACAATGTCCAAATCTCCTACAGACAGGACCTGATTGTTTTCAGATAGAATAGAAGTAACAGCTAGTTAACAACTTGCATTTTCAGTTTTAAAAAATACTCATGATAGAATTGGATTTGAAAGGATATCTTGATTCCAGTGACTCAATAGGATACTTGAACTTTAAAGTGAAATGGACATCCTGCCTTGTGGATTTATTGGCTAATTGTTTTAATGGAAAGGCATTAAAAATGAGTGGGAGATATTCTGCTAAGGAGTGAAATAACACCACAGTATTGTTCATTGCAGTCTTTCAATGTATCTTTGAAATGGCCCTCAAACATGCTGTAATCAGTGTTGACTATATCTTAAGGCTAAGAAATGATTGCTGTTTCTGTTGATAGGACTTCGGATGATATCAGCTAAAATTAATTGGATTCTTTAACTGGATTCTGTTTATTAGTTTGAATAATCCCCGTTGCCCTTATTTTTTGAGTGGTACTGCTTGGAGCCATCTTGAGAATGGCTGCTTGATGCCCAAGGACCATCATTCATAACTATGCTATAGCTCCTGCCTGCAGTAACAAAAGCTTCCTGTATTTAAAGGGATATAATGCATTGCTGCTGTTCTTTCTTTCTTGACTTCCTTTACTTCGTGTTATGTCCAATTGTTTAGTCATATACAAGACTGAGTGAGGAAAAGCAGAAAAATCACCTGAAGGCCATATTCTGGGTTTCTACAAATGGGAAAATGGGTTGCCCATAAGCTGCATAGGAACATATAGCTAAAGTCTCTCTCAAATTGAGTTTAGTTCTTGAGAACTCCATGTTTATTTGATGTTTTTGATGGACGTGTGGTGGCCCCAAAATTGCCATTTAATAGGAATTTTTGTCTGTTTTTAACTCCCCAGTAGACAGAATAGCCCTTGAATTTCTTACTGGTCTCATTTCCAAGTACCAAATAGGTTCAATTCTGCTCAGACCTGCCGGCCTCAGTTATCCGTAAGGTGGTAGCTTCTTTTTAAAAAAGGTTCATTTTACTGCTATTTCCAATACACTGCAGGAGAGCTAGAGACAAATTAGCTCCGCTGTTGAACACAGGCCTCATTTAGAAATCACAGAAGCCCAGAGCTGCTTTCAGACAGACACAGAATCCTTGTGTAGAAGTGCCTTTAGTTTTGTATTTTGAATGCCTTCTACTATAGCGTTAGTGGTAATTTTATTTAATAGCTTCTCTTCTGTCAGATTGTACTTTACTGTTTCTATAGAAACATTTATTTTTATTTTTAATGTTATTTGCAGATAACATCTTTTAGATGGAATGGGAGATTAAATCATATATATATATATAATCTGTATATGGTTTACACACACACACATGCACAGAGATGATTGCCCATCTTAAAACACAATTCTTGGTGGCTCTCAGCAATAAAACCCAGAACTATAAAAACCTGGTCCTAGATCAGCGTTCAAGTACAAAATGAATTGGATTCACAGGGTTGAATGTATTAGACATTGTTTCCATCAACGGATTATATTTCAAAAGATACCTTTATATTAGAAGATGTAACTTTACTGTTCTTATTTAGTTGGTTCATTATTATGCCTGAGCCTGATCTAGTTTCAGGATCTTGGCTACTCAGCTTACTTAGCTTCCATATCAAATCTGATACTGAATCTGGCTGATTTTCTGCTATGTATTCAAAATGGTGTGTGTGTGTGTGTGCGCGCACATGCGTGCGCTGCATGTATATATATATAGAGTAGAATAGAGTAGAACAGAACAGAACAGAACAGAATAGAATAGAAATTCTTTATTGGCCAAGTATGAATGGACACACAAGAAATTTGTCTCCAGTGCATAAGCTCACAGTGTACATATAAACAGCAAGTAGTAGGTCGTAGGTCATAAATCACAGTTACAATCATTAATCATAAGTTACAAACAATTGATAAACAATTAATCATAAGAAATCAATATGAGAAGATAGTAGGAAAGATGAGAAAATATGAGAAATGAGACAGTGCTGTGGGAATTAAGTGTTCAGCAGTGATAGCACAGGGGGAAAAAAATCTTAATGTCCGGTTGTTTCGGTTCTATAGCAGCGTCCTGAGGGGAGAAGTTGAAATAGATTATGTCCCAGATGTAAGAGGTCTGTAGATATTTTCTCAGCCCTTTTTCTGATTCGTGCGGTGTACAAATCCTCAGTGGAAGGCAGGGTGGTTGCAATTGTTTTTTTCTGCAGTCCTAACTATCAGTTGTATCTACCTGTCCTGTTTGGTTGCTGTGCCAAACCAGACAGTTATTGAGATACAAATGACAGACTCAATAATTCCTCTGTAGAACTGTATCAGCAGCTCCTTGGGCAATCTGAACTTTCTGAGTTGATGCAGGAAGAACACTCTTTATTGTGTCTTTTTAATGATGGATTAAATATATATAATTAATTTCTTCTTTTGAGAACGGGCATTGGAATTTCATTTTAATGTGTGTCATTGTGCAAAGAGAAAAGTGACAATAAAGGTTATCTTATCTATCTTATCTTATCTTACATAGGCTGCATGAGATAACAGTCCTGATTTAATGGGGCTGATTCTGGTCCAGATGTTCTATTAAGACTGGTTTGTGGATCAGTCAATTTACTGGAGCTGTTTCCTTCGTCTGAGGAGTCATTTCTCCAATGAAGTCATGACAGACACTGATAAAATCATCAGCATGATTTTGTGGTCTTGTGTCGTTCTTTAAATTAATACTGTATATTGCTTATTCTGAACGTTCATTGATGCTTCATCCAAGCAAAACCTGGCAGAAATTCAGGTTGCTTAAAAGTAGCTAGATGCCATGGTATGAAAGTCCCTGTTCAGATTGCAGCCAAGCAATCTTGTCATCTTTTAAACTATTTCTCTGCCTCTGTCTTAGAGCTTAGCTTTCTCTAAAGCTAAGTGTGTTGCCTTCGCTTTGATATCTTCTTGCTTTCCACACTTACCTTGCTTTTAAATTTCTTTCCCTAAAATTGTTTTGGCATTTCTTCTACCCCCTGGAATTTTTCTTTCTTCAATAAGCCTATTTAACTACTGTTGAACTGATACTTAGAGAATGAGGTTTTTATTCATTTTATTTTATTTTTATTTTTATTGTACCTTTCCAATTGAGTTGGTGATCAAAACTGTGAGATAATCTTCCAAAAGAGATTGATTAAAATATGCAAGATTCTGGATATGATACCTTTCTTTGAGCAAATATGACAAGCTGGTTATGTTGCATAGGATATGTTTTCCTATTCGTGCTATATATTTCTCTCTCTCTTTCCCCCCCCTCTTTTTAGAGAAAATCAGACAAAGATATGCAGAACTTCCTGGAGAACTGCACATTATTGAAATTGAAAAAGATAAGAATGGACTTGGACTCAGCCTTGCAGGCAACAAGGATAGGTCCCACATGAGCATTTTTGTTGTGGGGATTAGTCCAGATGGCCCTGCAGGAAAAGATGGAAGAATGCATATTGGAGATGAACTTTTAGAGGTAATTTTTGATTATATAAGGCTAATCAAATGGTTTTACAGATCATGGTGAAAAACAGTTGTTTAAGAGAACTGTCAATAAAAAATAATGGTGGGAATTGCTATATGATAGGGAAGTTATAAACAGCTCACCTTTGTCCAAAAAAATAGATCAATTGTTATGTCTCAACCTAGACTTCAGAGTAATTAAAGTGTTCTCGATGCTTTCAGGCAAGCATGTTATTATCTGAATATGTTGCCCAGTTTGTGGACTTGGAAACATCTACTTGGAAGTATTCTCTGTCCCATAAAACAATGTAATTTATATGTGTGGAGTGTAGCAATTCCATTTGGTAAATATCTTTTATTTGGGATATTTGTTCTATATACATTTTTCCTTCTATTGGGCCAGTATCAAAAGCTGCAGGTGCATTCTGTCCTCTGTTATTTTAGAGTGATCCATATTATAACTTATTATTTATTAAATTTATATGTCTCTCATCTCACTATCAAGCAACTCTGGGTGGTTTACAGTAACAATATAGATAACTGAAAAGTTAGAAATATTAAAATATTAAGTATTAAATTAAAACTTTAACATTAACAACAAATTAGATAAAAAGAACAGTCTGTAAATAGGATGGAAGTAGGATCTTATCTAATCTACTAGGCACCTCCAGAATTGGAAGCCACCATCGTGCCCCAAGCCAGTTGACAGAGTCAGGTTTTCAGGCCCTTTCAGAAGGCAAAGAGAATGAGGGCAAACTTTACCTCCAGAGGTAAAGTTCTGGAGAATGCTCCAGAGGACAGGAACCACAGAAGAAAGGGCTCTTTCCCTGGACCCTGCCAGCTGCAATTCCTCGGTTTACGGGACCCTCAAAATTCCTCTTCTGCTGGAATGAGGGAGCGGGAGAATCCCATTGGAGTGAGATGGTTCTTCAGGTACCCTGGATCCATGTCATAAAGGTATTTAAAGGTAATAGGAAACACCTACTTCTGGGTGGTCTTCTAAAAACAGTAAATAGTTAGTTAAGTTAATGTTTGCACAGCTAGCTCACGATGTAGACATTGCAGGCTCAGGAAGAAAGTGTTGCCCCAAGATTTATTTTAAATTCAGACTCAGTGATCAGAGGCAGAAACACCTAGCCCAAGAGACCTGTCGTTTTAATGGAGCTTCAAAAGGCGTGTTTACAATAAGAATTGTAGGAAAGTGTACTCTAACTAATCCAAAAAGTACATGGATAAGAACATACAAAACTGCCCTATATCTTGCCAGATAATTCATCGACATAGTCTGCATTCTCAGTAGGCCTCCATTCTTTTACAGCTTTGCTATTTATCTTTCTACCAAACATATTTCTGTATGCGTCTACTGAGCTCTGACCCTTCCATACATTTCAGCAACCTGTTCATTTTTGTACAGATAGGCAAGCTATTATTTTCTCTCATTTTCAATTGCTCATCTGCTGTGTGGGGACAATGCTAGTCTGGCAAGCATTAATAAGATAAAAAGGAAGGTTCTTTGAAAGCACTGGATGAAAAAAGAGGCAGATTTTTTTTAAAGAGCACTCTTTCTCCCAAAAGAAAAAGAATTCAGACTCAGACAAACACTCAACGTTTACAGAAATTTCACACTTTAAAATAACTGGCTCTCAGTATAATTTCAACTATGTGACCTGTGGAGCAATCATATAGAACTATCTTATTCACATGTATTGTAATCTCCCTGTCGAGCCTCTGCATATGTTGATCATGTCGCCTAAAATTAATGGGAGGTGATGGATAATGGGAGCTGAAGTAGATCTAATGCATCTTGACAACTATCAGACAGCAGCAAAAAGATATTAAAAATTGGATTTCTGCTGGGCAGATCTGGTAGGCCTATGCTGAAATGCAACAGATCTGAAGGTTAACAGATTAGACAAGGCTGACATAGATAGGAATATCAAGACACATTGCATTTTTTACAAATATATCTTTATTAAATTTCCAAAATGAATAAAATACAAAATGGGGGGGGGAGCAACAGGAAAAAAAATTAAATGGGTAACAGGAAAAGAAAAGAAATATTTAAAAAGATATAGAAAAAGAGTAAGTTCCAACTTTCTTCAGTGCAGGTAACAGATATATAATAACTTTGCCTCTTACTCTAAGTTTAAACAAAAATGAAAGGCATAACATGTAGAACATGCATAACAAACTAAAGCAATAACATTACAGGATATTTCTATCATAGGATAAGGATAAGGATAAGGATAAGGATAATTTTATTTCTATACCGTCCCTCTCCCAAAGGACTCGGGGCGGTGTACAGCCAGGTAAAAACACAATACAAATATCACAATTTAATTTAAATAATTATTAAAAGTATTACATTTAAGGCCAATTAACTAAAAAACCCAAAAATTTAAGAATTCCAAATTTAAAACTCAATTTATGAAGCTAGCCCTGCCTGTCGGAAGAGCAGGGTCTTAAGAGCACAGCGGAAAACTCGAAGGTCAGAGATCTTGCGTATGTCCGGGGGCAGTTCATTCCAAAGGGCAGGGGCTCCCACAGAGAAGGCTCTCCCCCTGGGTGTCGCCAGCCGACATAATTTGGCCAATGGCACCCTGAGGAGTCCCTCTCTGTGGGAGCGAACTGGACGGTGGGAGGCTGTTGGTGGCAGAAGGCGGTCTCATAGGTACCCAGGTCCTGAGCCATGGAGCGCTTTAAAGGTGGTAACCAACACCTTGAATCGCACCCGGAAGACCACTGGGAGCCAGTGCAGCTCGCGCAGGAAAGGTGTTACATGGGCACAACGGGTTGCACCCATAATTACCCATGCGGCCGCATTCTGGACCAGCTGGAGCCTCCGAGTGCTCTTCAAGGGGAGCCCCATGTAGAGAGCATTACAGTAGTCCAGCCGGGAGGTAACAAGAGCGTGAGTGACTGTGCGCAAGGCGTAGTCATCAAATCTGCAAATCAGAGTTTCTATCCTTTGTGAACAAGAAATCCAAAAGTAGTTTCCAAATGAAAACAAAACTAGCAAATTTTTGCTTTTCGTCAAAGTGACCAATTTTGCCATATTACTCAGCTCCATTAATTTCACAATCCATTCTTCCATTTTAGGATTTTGTGTAACTTTCCACCTTTGTACATATAAAAGTCTTGCTCCTGTTATCATCTATATAGTAAGAGCAAAGTCCTATGTTTCCTTTCAATCAATGTGTCTAAAAGAAAAACCTCTGGTTTTAATAGCGCATCAATTTTCAGTATCTTCTGAATCAATTCAGTATCTTCTGAATCAAAAAACGTATTTGGTCTCAGTATTTTTAGCACTTTCACAAGTCCACAAGGCGGTAAAAGGTACATTCATTACAGTGGTTAGAATGCAGCATTGCAGGCTAATTCTGCTGACTGCCGACTGCCAGATGTTCAGCAGTTCGAGTCTCACCGACTCAAGGTTGACTCAGCCTTCCATCCTTCTGAAGTCGTAAAATGAGGACCCAGATTATGGGGGAGGGCAATATGTTGACTTTGTAAGCCACCTAGAGAGGGCTGTAAAGTATCTAAGTGCTAGTGCTATTTCCAGCACTTACATGACATTTCCTTATACTCTGACAATTTATCAAGTGTTAAATACCAATGATATATTGTTTTATAAACATTTACTTTCACATTATAACTCAATATAAACTTCAGTCCTTTTCTCCACGTTTCCCCCTTGATCAAGCATAATATTATATCCAAAGTTTTTTGTCCATTTAATCATACAATCTTTGTTCGTCCTCTTGATTTGTTGTCATTAGTGTTTTAATATTTTAATATTAACACTTAAGATATTCATCATTCATTCAGTAGTCTCAACTTATGACCACAATTGAGCCCAAAATTTATGTTGCTAAGTGAGATGGTTGTTAATAGACTTTTGCCCAGGGGTGAAATGCTCCGGTTTGGACTGGATTGCCTGATCCGGTAGCGATTGAGGCGGATGGTTCGGAGAACCGGTAGCAAAAAACCTGCCCGCCCCCATTGCCCAGCTGAGTCGCGCAATCATCAGAGGCTTTTTAAATTTATTTTTAAAAGCATTTTTTCTACAACCTCTTTGGCCAAAAAAATGCTTTTAAAAGTTAAAAAAAAAAAAGCCTCTGATGATCGCGCAGCTCAGCTGGGATTATCAGAGGCTTTTAAAAGCATTTTTTCTACAACCTCTTCCACTGAAGAGATTATAGAAAAAATGTTTTTAAAAGGAAAAGAAAGCCTCTGCCGATCAGGCAAGTCAGCTGGGATCGTCAGAGGCTTTTAAAAGCATTTTTTACAACCTCTTCAGCTGAAGAGGTTGTAGAAAAAATGGTTTTAAAAGTTAAAAAAAAAAAAAGTTGGCCATGCCCACTCAGTCATATTACCCCCACCACCAAGCCACGCCCACAGAATCGGTAGTAACAAAATTTACATTTCACCACTGCTTTTGCCCCACTTTATAACTTTTCTTGCCACAGTTGTTAACATGGTTGTTAAATGAATCCGGCTTCCCCATTGACTTTGCTTGTCAGAAAGTCACAAAAGATGATCATATGACTCTGGGACACTGCAACCGTCATAAATATGAGTCAGTTACCAAGCGTCTGAACTTTGATCATGGGGATGCTGCAATGGTTGTATGTCTGAAAAATGGTCATAAATCATTTTTTTCAGTGCCGTTGTAACTTTGAACAGTCACTGTTCAACCAAACTGTTGAAAGTCAAGGACTACCTGTACATAGATCCCTTTCAAAATCTGTTTTTTCATCTACAAAAACAAAGTTGTTTTTATCCTATTTAAAATGATTTGACTCCATCGGTTCTATTTAATTTTCTAATTTCATACTTTTCATTAAGATCTGTTGGTTGTTACTCTTAAAACCTATTAGCATACCAAATTTCTTTAATTTTACCATTAATATTCCACCTCCTTTTAGAGCTGGGGTGTCAGACTCACGTCATCATGGCGGTGTCACATGACATATCGGGACATTTTCCCCTTTGCTAAACCGGTCGTGGGCA